AGAAAGAAAGAGATAGGATAGATAGATAGAATAGATAGATAGAATAGATCGAGGGTCTTCAAACTTGGCAAGTTTAAGACTTGTGGACTTCAACTCCCAGAATTCCTGAGCTAACATGGAGGAGGAATTCTGGGAGTTGAAGTCTTCAAGCTGTCAAATTTGGAGATCCCTGCTCTACAAGTTCAGGACTTAAAGAAAACTCAACTTCTTACTTTATTTTGTCCTTATTCCTATTTTGCTGGGGAAGAATTATGATTAAACAACAAGAGCAGAAATACGTTTTTCTCCTTTCTGTAAATTAGGAATATTGAGAGAAAGCAGCAATTGGCATTATGTCATAAGAAATTTCATTGTCTTTGGTAGGTAACATTTTGTCAAGTTACTGCAATTACAGGTAGTCCTCAACTTACGACCACAATTGAGCTTAACATTTCTGTTATGTGAAACATTTGTTAAGTGAGTTTTGCCCCAGTTCTACGACCTTTCTTGCCACAGATGTTAAGTGAATCACAAGCAGTTGATAAGTTAGTATCCTGGTTGTTAAGTGAATCTGCTTCTCCACTGACTTTGCTCATCAGGAAGACACAAAAGGGGATTGCACAACCCGGGAACACAGCGACTGTCATAAATATAAACCAGTTGCCAAGCAGCTGAATTTTGATCACGTGATCACTAGGATGCTGCAGTGGTGGTAAGCGTGAAAAAACCATCCAAAGTTACTTTTATCAGTGTCGTCGTAACTTTGAACGGTCACTCAATGAACTGTTGTAAGTTGAGGACTACCTGCAGTGGAGCCGATTGTTTGTCTTTCTATACACTGTCCAGTGTTTTGACCAAGGCCTGCATTTTGTTTTAAAGCAGGTGGAACTGAACACGCAGGTCAACGAGATGGATGGGCAAAGGGGTGTGATCCCGGCAAACACACAGCTCCAGACTGCGTTTTCCGTCAATCTGGGATCAGAAAACGAATCTGCTCATGTAGAACTCTGCATATCCACATCCAATGGTAAGTCAGGATTAGCAGCCAAAATGTGTTGGTACAGGCTCAGTACATATCAGAGGTGGTCTTCAGCCAGTTCTGACCAGTTCTGGAGAACCGGAAGCGGAAATTTCGAGTAGTTGGGGGAAAACCAGCAAACGCCGCCTCTGACTGGCCCCGCCAACCCCCTCTATTCTCTGCCTCCCAATGAGTCCCAGCTGATCGGCTGGGTCTCCTTTGGTTGACCTGCCCAGGAGAACAGAGCTGGAAAGCAGGTTGGTGGGGTGGGGAGGGAATGGGGATTTTGCAGTATCCTTCCCCTGCCACGCCCATCAAGCCACTCCCACCAAGCCATGCCCACAAAACCGGTAGTAAAAAAATTTGAATCCCACCACTGGGTACATATGTATAATTTTTTGGCTGTGAGCACCTGAGGAAGATGCTTTTTCGATCTGACTCGGACATTTCCACCTTTCACTGATCTCTTGGGCCAGAGGAATGCACCTATGATGAGGTTGTTGTCAAGGTTCCAAGTAATACAGCCATAGCAAACAGAACCCCGAGACAGGTAGGTTCTTCAAAGAATAGCTTTATTTCGATATGTCATATTGGCACAGATCTGGTGAAAACCGACTTTGAATGTTCCTGCGGTTTTCCACCTAATTAAAAGTAAAAGTTTTCCCCTTCCCCAAACAATGTCACATGGTCCAATCCAGGTGCTGTCTGATCGCTTGGTAACTTCACTCCTCCTCTCTTCAGCCACCTGTGGGAATGAACTTGGTTCCCAGCGGAAACTATTTTATTTTGGCTACAAAACTCCAGTTATCTCTACTCCCCCCTCATCTTCATTATGGCAACGTTGAAGCCTGAAAGATGGCCTCAGTTAGGCTAGCTTCAGAGTTGACAGTTGTTCTGTATGAAGAATAAGGTAAAGGTTCCCCTTGCACATGCGTGGTAATCGTTTCCGGCTCTGGGGGGCGGTGCTCATCTCCGTTTCAAAGCCAAAGAGCCAGCGCTGTCCAAAGACGTCTCCGTGGTCATGTGGCCGGCAGGACTAAACGCTTTCGAAGGGGCATGGAACGCTGTTCCCTTCCCACCAAAAGGGTCCCTATTTTTCTACTTGCATTTTTAACATGCTTTCGAACTGCTAAGGTTGGCAGAAGCTGGGACAAGGAACGGGAGCTCACTCCATTACACGGCGCTAGGGATTCGAACCGCTGAGCTGCTGACCTTTCTGATCGACGATCTCAGCGTCTTAGCCACTGAGCCACCGTGTCCCCCTGTATGAAGAATAGTTGACACTTAAAGTTTAAGGTTTAGCATCTAAAGGCAACAGGTTAACCTGAGCAGATCCATGGGGCCTGAGACCCTAGAGAGTGTGGAGAGAAGAGCAACAAAGATGATAGAGGGTTTGGAGGCTAAATTGTATGATGAACAGTTTAGGGAGCTAGGTATGTCTAGTCTAGCAAAGAGAATGATTATACTTGAGGGGCTGTCACAGAGAAGAGGGGATTCACTTACTCTCCAAGGCACTAGAGGGCAGGGCAGGGAGTCATGGGTGGAAGTTTATCAAAGAGAGATCCAACCTGGAATTAAGGACAAACTTTCTAACAGGGAGGACAATTAACCAGTGGAACAGCTTGTCTCCAGAAGTTGTGGGTGCTTCATCCCTGGAGGTTTTCAAGAAGAGATTGGACAACCATTTGACCTGCATGATATAAAGTCTCCTTCCTTGAGCAGGGGGTGGGCCTAGAAGACCTCTGAGGTCCCCTTCCAGCTCTATGATTCTATGTTCATAGTAAACTTGAGGCCACAAGTGAAATATCTGTTCGATTGCTTTTGGTGGCGGCAGCAGTGATGGTTTTGGCTTCTTTTCTGTTCCATCTGTCATCCTGGAGAATAGCTTCTAAACGGAATAGATGTCTTAATATTCTTAATCTTGCTTAACAACCGTAATGGGCGGGCTCCATCACGGTCATAGGTTGAGGACTAACCTCCATGAGAACCTTCAAAACTCACAAAAAGAGGGACTGTCTTTGTTTTCATTTAAGACACGATTATCCGGGCGGTGCTGATTTTTGCCGAAGGCATCTTTGAGAACGAGAGCCACGTGATCCACCCCACTCCTCAGAACCTCTCGAGCAGCATAAAAATCCCACTCTCCCCCCCGAAAGACGTCCCGGTGGAGCTGAACATCAAAGCCCTTGTTGGCTACAAGAAGAGGTGAGACGGCTTGGCAGGTTTCCCATCCGCTGCCTTTTCCCAACCCCTTTGATTGGACTCAAAGCCTTTTTTTTGCTCTTGGGCTTTTATTAGAGAAACGGGGACCCTCAATTATGTGGGAGCAGTCGGGAAAATCCCAATGCAGAGAGAAATATCTCCGATTGGATAAGCCCTCAGGCAGGTTTTTGAGTCAGCAAGCGCCAGCATTTTGCATTCAGCAAGTTTTGCTTTTTTTTAATGCTTTGAAGGAACGAATGCTGTATATCGGTTTATAGATTTTTTTTTGTTTGGTTCTTCTTCTGTTCAATCATGTCTGACTCTCAGAGGCTGCCTGGGCAGGTCCCTGCAGTTTTTCAGAAGTGGTTTGCCATTGGCTCCTTCCTAGGGCTGGAAGAAAGTGACAGGCCCATGGTTCCAGGGCTGACTTTGTGCCCAAAGGCTGGACTGGAACTCACGGCCTCCTGGTTCCTAGCCTGATGCCTTAAGCACTATACCAGACTTGCCTTTCTAACATAAGTTAAGCTTGTCTAAATAGATTTGGGCACAGAAGTAGTTTTCTAGTGCTTCTTTCCTCAGACAGAATGACTGTCCTAGGTCACCCAGTTGGCTTTGTGCCTAAGGCAGATCTAGAACTCCCAGTGTCCTGGTTTTTAACCTGATGCTTTCACCACTATACCAAGCCTGCTCATTTATAGATATTGCAGAGCTAGAATCTTTAGACCAGTGGCCCCCAACCTTTTTTGTGCCATGGCCCGGTACCAGCATTACAAAAAGATCCGCGGCCCGGTACCGGCATCAGCACACATGGCAAGGCGAGCCGAGCGACCAGCCAGCCAGCCGTCCCCCGCTTCTCCCCGCCACCTTCAACTCCTCCTTTGTACCTTTGTCGATGGGCTTCGGGACAGTCGCTCGGCTCGCCTTGCCTTGGGTGCTGAAAGAATCCTCGCACCTTAGTTTTGTTCGAAGCCGCCTCCCCCCTTCGATGAAACTAAGGCGCGAGGATTCCTTCAGGACCCAAA